CACACACACACACACACATATATAAGCCTAAGCGACTGTTACAACCGAACAACCAGAATGATCAGTCAACCAGGCGCTATGATGTGCACTGACCACCAGGGGCAGACACTCAATGCAGGAGATGCTCCCTGGTGGTCATTGTGCTCCTACAAGTGGGAGTGCTGCTCAGCCAGAAGTCGGGGTCATGGCTGGCCAGTGTAGCTGTGGTGGCAGGAGCTTCTCCCACCTCCACAGCAACGCTACTGAGCAGTGGTAGCAGTGGCAGGTGCAGCAGGGCTGAGGTGAGGGGGAGTGGCGTGGCACCTGGTCCAGGCTCTGGATCCTCCCTGGCCACTTGCCACTTAGCACACTGCTACATCCCTCGTACCCCATAAGCCTGCAGCTACAATCTCCGGAGAACAGTTGAAGCGCAGACACTCTGAGTAACCAGGACAAGCCTGATATTTCTGCTGGGCTTCTGGAATTCTGCCTGAGACATCAACATCACATCTCATCCCTTACCAATTTTCCTGGAGCTACAGGGCAAGGCAGCAATACAACAATGGCCACAAGGTGGTGACTGACAATAGGGGTAAAAGTCAGAGATATAGATCTGAAGGGCAACAGAGCACCCCTGCCACCCAAGGTCCCCAACATTGTATTGTTAACCTTGGAGTGCCTCTTATCTGGTTACAAGCAATGGAAAGCATCCAGCATGTCCAAGGTGTCCACTGGGGACCTCTTGGCCAGCAAGGCATGACCCGAGCCTCAGAAGGGACATTAGGAAATATTTTTTCAGGAAGCTGCATGGAGGAGGACAGACTGCCCACGTGACTTCCCAGCAGTCACGGGGATGTGAAAACTCCCCAGGCATGCAGGCTTGGGCTCCCAATTTAATTTCAATGTGCACATATCCATGCACAAGGCCACTAGTTAATAATAACCTTGAATATAAATGGACTAAATGCTCCCATTTATACACATAGAATGGTTGAAAGGATAAAAAATATGACCATATATATACTGTCTACAAGTGACCCATCTCAGAACAAAGGATTCACAGAGACTGAAAGTGAAGGGATGGAAAAATACTTTTCAGGAAAATGGAAATAGAAATAAAGCTGTGGTAGCAATACTTATATCTGACAAAATAGACCACAAAATGAAGGACATAAGAAGAGAAAAGGAAGGACTATCATAATATTAAAGTGCTCTATACAACAATAGGATATAACTCAGGTAAAAATATATACACCCAAAATAGGAGCACCCAAATACATAAAAAATCTTCTGGAAGATATCAAGGGAGAGATCAACATCAATAAAATCATGGTAGCAGACTTTAATATCCCATTGACATCACTGGGTAAATCCTCTAGATAAAAAATAAGCAAAGAAACAGCAATCCTAAATTATTTACTAGATCTGGTGGACTTAATTGACATCTTCAAAACATTTAACCCCAAAGCTACAGAATATACATTCTTCTCAAGTGCGCATGGGACATTTTCAAAGATAGATCACATATTGGGACACAGGCAAAGTCTCTTCATATTTAAGAAGATTGAAATCATATCAAGCATCTTCTAAGATCACAATAGCATAATATTACACATAAACTACAATAAAAAAAAACTTAAAAATAAAAAAATTAGAGGCTAAATAGCATGTTATTAAACAATTATTGGGTTACCAAAGAAATGAAATAAAAAATTTAAAAATCTCTAAACAAATGAAATGAAAACACAACAATCCAAAAATCTATGGGACACAGTGAAAGCAGTCCTGAGAGGGAAGTTCATAGCTCTATCTCAGAAAAACTAGAAAAACTGTTAATAAATTATCTAAGTCTACAACTTAAAGAACTATAAAGAAGTGCTAAGAAAATCCCAGTGTAAGCAGAAGGAGGGAAATAAAGATCAAAGTGGAAATAAATGACATAGAGACCTAAAAATAAAATAAATAAAATAAAATAAAATAAATCAATAAAACCCAGAGCAGGTTTTTTTAAAGGATAAAAAAGGTTCTCTAATCAGGCTCACCAAGAAGCAAAGAGAGAGGACCCAAATAAACAAAATCAGAAACGAAAGAGGTGAAATAACAACAGAAATACAAAGGTTTGTAAGAAAATACTATGAACAGCTCTATTCCAACAAAATGGTCAACCTACAAGAAATTGACATAGTCCTAGAAAAATATGACCTTCCAAAACTCAATCAGGAAGATTCAGTAAATCTGAATAGGGTGATAACTATGGAGGAAATTGAAGCAGAAATTAAAACAAACAAACAAACAACAACAACAAAAAACCTTACAGCAAACAAAATCCCTGGGCCAGACAGCTTCACAGGGAAATTTCACCAATCATTCAAAGAAGACATAAAAACTATACTCCTCATATTATTCAAAAAAGAAATCAAGAGAAAGGTTCACTTCCAAGCTCTTGCTACGAAGCCAGCATTACCCTAATCCCAAATCCAGATAAAGATACTACAAAGAAAGAATATTAATGGTCAATATCTCTGATGAACTTAGATGCTAAAACCTCATAAATTTCTAGCAAATCTGATCCAGCATTACATTGGAAAGATCATACACCATGACCAAGTGGGATTTATTCCAGGGATGCAAGAATTGTACAACATCCTTAAGTCAATAAATGTGATACATAACATAAACAAATTGAGAGATAAAAATCACATAATCATATCAATTAATGCAGAAACAGCATTTGACAAAGTCCAACAATATTTCTTGATAAGAACTCTCAGCAGAGTGGGAATAGAGGGATCATACCTCAGCATAATAATAGTCTTATATGACAAACCTACAGCCAACATCATACTCAAACCATTTCCAAAACTAAAACCATTTCCCCTAAGAACAGGAACAACACAAGGATGCCCACTCTCACCACTCCTGTTTGACATAGTACTGGAATGGCTAGCTATAATGATCAGACAAGAAGAAGAAATATGAGGCATCCCATTGGGAAAATAAGTAAAACTGTTATTATTCGCAGATGACATAATATTATACATAGAAAACTGTAAAGATTCCATTGAAAAACTGATAGATTTAATAATAAATTTGGCAATGTAGTAGGATACAAAATTAACACCCAGAAATCTATGGCTTTTTTATACACCAACTAGAGGCCCAGTGCACAAAATCCATGCCTGGGTATGGCCCCTAGGCCCCTACACCAGCATCTGGTGTAGAATGGCAGATTCCAGCTGATCTCTGGACCCTGGGCAGCACCTGGGCTGCTGGGCCCCCATGAGCCACCCTCCACCTGAGTCATGGTGCCCAAGTCCCAACATGAAGATGTGGTTTTTGTGGCCAGACACTGTGGGCCAGGGCACAGCTTGGGCTTTTGGGCTGCCCAGTGGTGCTGCACAGAAGCTGGGCAGGCAGTGCACTCTCTCCTGGCTGGCCTCGCAGCCTGGCTCCTACGCAAACGCATGGGGAGCCCGACTGGCCCCTGCAGTCCTGGTGGCTGTGGCCTGGCTCACCTGGAAGAGGATGCACAGGTGTAGGGTGGGCTCCTTGCAGGCACCCAGCACTTGAGCACAGGGGTTTCCCTGGCATGCAAGCCCTGGTGCCCCAGGGGAGGGTAGCAGGGGGAGTGAGAATGAGCTTGGGGGACACCCTGCATTCTCACTGCACCTCCATCTTCATCACCCCTGACCCCAGGTCGATGACGAGAGGTTGCAGCCCCCCACCCAGTGCCACAGGAGGTTGGTCACTGCCATCCACTCCCACTTCCCTGTCTCAGCCTGGGGATTGGGCCCAATTGGGTGATCAAGGCCTTCCCGCCGGAGGGAGGGACTGGAAGTTTGGCCATCAGGCCCCGATCTAGCGACTGGGGTTGCTGGCTGTGGGAAGGGATCGGGAGGTTGGCCGGCAGGCCCCTTCTGGTGATTGGGGGCAGCCACTGCATTGAGCATCTTCCCCCTGGTGGTCAGTGCACGTTATAGCCACCATTGTTCCAGTCATTACATCATAATGGTTGCTTAGGCTTCTATATATATATATATAGATAATGAACTCACAAAAAAGAAACAAACAAAAAGCAACCCCATTTACCATTGAATAATAAAAAAAAAATAAGATACCTAGGATTAAACCAGTGATGGCGAACCTTTTGAGCTCGGCGTGTCAGCATTTTGAAAAACCCTAACTTAACACTGGTGCCTTGTCACATATAGAAATTTTTTGATATTTGCAACCATAGTAAAACAAAGACTTATATTTTTAATATTATTTTATATATTTAAATGCCATTTAACAAAGAAAAATCAACCAAAAAATGAGTTCGCCTGTCACTGTCCCGACCCACGGGACAACAACGGGGGAATTAAGAGACACCCTAGGAGAATGAGACAAACAAGGGACACGAAAGAATGGAGGCAAGACAGTGTTCTGATCAAGCCTCAAAATTTATTCTTACAGCGGCAGAATATATGTTTTAGGGACGGGGGGTGGGTGGAGAAGCCTATTAGCTTATCAGCAGGGTTGTAGCAGGCTCCGGTTGTGGCGGTAGTTGCTTCAGGGTATGAGATAATTATCTTTAGCTGCTGACCAAACCTCAGGACATACGTGGTTTCTGGTAACTAGGAGTTTCCAGAACTTAATGGCCTTGACGTGGTTACTACCAGAAACTTATTGTTCTTAAGATAGCTTTGTCTAGGCCGGTTTCTCCGATGGCTCCCAACATTTCCTCCCTTTTTCTTTATTAAGGGGCGGGCTTTAACCGACTGGAGGAGTAGGGACCTGGTTCCTCCCGTGGGATGGTGGGATCCCACCACCAATGGCTCTTGGTATCTTTTTGGGGAGGAGAGGCAGAGCCAATAGTTATGTATGGATACCAACCTCTATGCAAACCAGGTGTGCTCACAGGGAAATCCAGAGGTCGAAAAAATTTTTTGTGACCTTCCCTTGCAGTGCTTTGCCGTGCACCCAGGTCGGTGCCCATGCCTTTCTCCTTCTATGGGGAGTAGGCAAGCATCCCTCTGGCGTCATGCTGTCTCCACAGGGAGGGAGTTTTGGAAGTCATTATAATCACATTCACGGTCTAACATGGCTGGACAGTGGTAGTGTACCTGAATAGGTTTGGCCAGAATGCTATCAACTTGTTGTTTTACAAAGTCTGTCAATTTTCTAAAGGCCCAGGGGCCAAAGGTTAGGAATAGGAAAAGGCTGACAAGGGGGCCAAGAGCAGGAAGCAGGTAGGGTAGGAGTCCATTTAAGCCGCTCCAAAGGGGGTTTTCGAATAATTCTCTCCATCTTTTCACCAGATCTTCTTGTAGCTTTTTTATCTTGTCTCGGACGATCCCGGATTTGTTGGCATAAAAGCAGCAGCGTTCCTGTAGGACTAAGCATATTCCTCCCTGTTCTGCTGTGAGCAAATCTAACCCTCTTCTATTTTGTAGTACTACTTCAGCTAATGAATCAATATGATCTTGGAGATCATTGATAGTGCCTGAGAGAGCTTGGACATCATCAATTAGCTGGTTAGATAATTTATTATAGGTGTGTAATGCTGTCCCTAATCCGGCGGAACCGGTAGCTATAGCTCCCGAAATGCCTAGACCAATAAGTAAGGGAATAAATTGAACAGCCCACTTCCTACGCCCAGCTATATAGTCGAAGCTGGGCAAGGGAACAGGTTCTTCCCCTGGGATAATGTCAATGTCGGGGAGAATACTGGCTTGTATACATAATCCTGTCCAATTTATAGGTAGGGCCGTGTAGGCCAGGTTTCCCCCACATACAAATACTCGCCCTGGAGCTGGACAGATGGCAGAATTGTGGTTCTGAATGGAAGAGCAGTTTACAAAACTAGCAAATCCTACATTTAAGTCATAGCTGTTGTTTTGGGGGGTTTTTTGTATGCATGAGGAAAGATTGAATGCTACAGGCAGTGTTCTAAAGGGTATGCTGAGGGAGCAATTATGGTAGGAGGTGATATTGGAGTTGTTATCTGGGATGACAAGGGGCATGGGTGTGCCTAGGGTCATACATAGCCAGCAGTCTTCTGCAAGGGAGGGATTGGTGGTATTTAAAGCTTTCAGCGTGGCTTCTAAGGTATCAAAGGTCTGAGTGTCTAAATTAATACCTCTTGATTTGGGCAAGGCTAAAGGGTGGTAATGTAGAGGAGGATACATGCTTTTAAGGTATTCTTCAATTTGTTTTTGAACGAGGGTTTCTCTGACTCTGTCTGTTGGTCCACCACCATCAGATATGTGGGTTGGCGCTTGTGGAGGCCAGCAGACAGGTTTGCCAATGGTACCTTGGCAGGAGGCTTGGGCATATTTGGAGCTTCCTCGACTATTGGAGTAAGCATGTTCGCCTCCAAAGGAGCCACTATATGTTCTTTCTAAGGTGGCAGTAAGCTGAATTTTACTCTCGGAGTTAGTGCACTGTTGAACAGTGGTGTAGCAAGTAGAGTGCATTTGAGTGGACTGCTGGCAGTCTTGAGGGCAAGGACCTGGCTTGCCGTTAACAGAGGGTATAATTTTAGGTTTATTTACACATTTCCAGCTTGCTTTTTGCCCTCCTGTCTTGAGAGATTCAAAAGTAAGGTAGGCAGTAGAAGTGCCACAATCAGTTGTATGGGTATGTTGATTGGAAAAGGGGGTTGTCGAGGTATATCCTCCTTTACAATCACAGGGGCTGCCATAAAGGTCTTGATTTAATTCTGAAATGCTCGGGGTGATTGGAGCCCCCCAAAGGTGGTGGCTAATAGGATGGGGAAAGGATAGCCGTCCGAGGGAGCTTCATAGTTGTGGAGGGTTTATGTATCAAGGACAAAACGTTTTCCTCCGGGAATTAAATCTGGGTACGTCTACACTCCCAAAGGACTGTGAGCAGTATTAGCAGAAGGCCTGCCAGGGCATATCTTAGGGGGAACTTACCTTATTGGGTGAAGTCAATGTTGTTGTTTTCTGTAAGGAAAAAGAAGGATGGTTCTTAGGGATTGTTTCCCTGGAGGAGTGTATTGTTATTGGGAGTGGGTTATTATGAGGAATTGATGGGCTTAATTAGGCGCTCAGGCAGCCATCGTGGTCCTTTCTCTTGGGTATCATATACACATGCAGATCCTCGTCCCCAGATGAGCACTGGATCGGGACCATGCCATTTAGCTGTCATAGGGTCCTTCCACATCACTTTGGCATATTGAGTTTTTGTTTCTGGGTGCCATAATCGGTCTGCAGCGGATTTCCCTTCTTTGTCAAGTTGGAGGAAGTTCGAGGTAAATAAGGCATGAGATAGGAGATTGCGAGGAGAACCTTTGGTGGGATATATGTCAGTTGATTTGAGTTTATTTATGGTATTTTTGAGGGTTTGATGAGCCCGTTCTATTATTCCCTGGCCTTGGGTATTGTAAGGAATTCCAGTGATATGTTTAATGTTAAATTGAAGGCAGAAGTTTTTAAAAGCCTGAGAGATATATCTGGGTCCGTTATCTGTCTTTATTGTTTGTGGTTTCCCGAGAGCAGTTAAGCATTGGAGGCCTTGGGCTATAACATTTTTTGAAGCCTCTTTTAATAAATCAACCAATTGATCAGCATGTGCATTTCTTTTAGTTAATGGGCTAGGTAATATGCTGTGAGCCCTGATGTGGGTGATATAAAAAAGGTATTTTCTCTGCTGCACAATCTGTTGAACTTGCTTAAATAGTAAGAATAAACTTTGGTCACCGGGCAGTTTCAATTCTACTTACTAGGCCCGAATCATAAGAGGAATCAGAAATTATATTAACAGGCTGTTGGAAATCTTGCAATGCAGCCTTAATAGCTTTTAATTTAATTCTTTGCACAGAAGTATGACTGGTCAGTATGACTCAGTCAGAATTCATAGTATGATAGGCAGCTTTCCCATTTGATGATCCATCAGTAAAAACAGTTAAAGCTTCAGGAATTGGTTCCTGCCTAGTGTTTTTTGGTGTAATTATGGAGGTCTTATATAAAAATTGTCAAAGTTTATCTTTTAATAGGTGACAACTAAGTTCCCCTGAATATCCACTTAGCCTAATTTGCCAATTTTAAGTCAGTTTGAAATAACATTTATTCTTTTAACTTTACTTGTCCTAAGTTATGGACAGTAAATGACATTAATTAAACTTCTGGTATTAGTCTTTAAGTAAATTTACATAAACTTTGTTTAAGGAGGCAAAACACAAATTATTTAATTTAGCTTATGAGGTCCAATATATTGATTTTTAATTTTAGTTAGACATCTGAAGGAAACCTCTTTTTATTTCCTTCCAGACAGCTTTCTTTCTCGCACAAGCAACAAATGTAAGGAATATGGTTGCCTTTTGAGATTTTAACAAATGCTGTTGCAAAGCTATATATTTCAAGTGAGTTTTCATTTATGGTGACTAATTATTGTCAGATTTAGTGTTTTAACAACAATCTGTAAATGTTAGCAATTATATTTTTAAAGAATATATACTTTGGCTTATTTGCATATACAGAGGAATCATGGGAAGCCTTCAGTATCTTTTTTTTTAGAAGAATTTTACTTTATTAGGATTCAATTGCTTACAAAGATTAGTAAATTCAGTAAAGTTTTATGTCTGATACAGGAGGTGCAAACGCTGCCCCACCTCCAGCCTAATTTAAAATGCAGTAGTGAGGAGCTTTTGTTATTTCAAATTACATCTTAAAATTTCACTGCTGTATTTTAAGAAATATTAAACAAAATAGCTTGTTTTGCCCTTTCTCAGAGGCAAAAACTTAAAATATATTTATTAATTTTTATTTGATAAAGCTTTCCATGTGATTTCAAGTATATTAAATTTAGCTAAATTAAAATATCCTTTAAAAAGAAAGAATAAACTTTTGAAAAACATTTCAGGGCCCGTGAAATTTCTCAAAGTTTTTCCTTGGTTATGGTTTTGAAATACAACTTGAGAGACCATCAAATATACATAATTTAAAAATTATATACTTCTTATAATTATTAAGAGATATCAATTAAATTTAAACTGGTTTTAAAATTTCAGCTGGGTTCACAGAAATTGGATTACTGCTATGAGTCCCTTTTAAATACTTTGACATAAGCTATTTAACTTTTGTTTAGGGAGGGAACATATAACCTTTAATTGTCCTTAGTTTAAGAAAAGCAGGGTTTTCTAGATTTAAGAGATTAGAAACACTTTCTGCCCCATCTGCATTTCCGTAGTGAAGTTCCGCCTTAAAGCTCCACCCCTGAAATTCCATCCTGCCTCAGTGAGAAGACATTCCCTTTGTGATTGGCTAAGTTAGAGGGCGGGGCCTTTGCTGTTTCAAGATGGCGGCCCCCAGGGGGAGCGGTGAGCCATGCGGCCAACATGGCGGCTCCAAATTATGCAGCCCAACATTGTGGCTGTCTAAACTGTTCTCTGACAGAAAACATGATTTCCTTATTCTCACAATAAACAAGGGAAGAGGAAACCAAAATTCCTAAAAGATAGATGGCCAACATTATATTGTAGACAAGCAGAAATCCCATTAGCTGTTTATACCTTTTATAATTATTTTAAACGATATCAATTAAGTTTAAACTGGTTTTTGTATTAAAAATTTTCAGTTGAGATCAAAAAATTAATCCACTTTTTATCAGATCAATAAGCAACATATTTTGAATTCTAATTACTTCAGAGGAAACAAAAATTTTCTCAAAAATAAAATTTTTTTAAGCATTTAGCTATTATAATTATACAATTTTTCCTAATTTAATCTGATTTTTAAACTTTTAGCTGGCAAGTCAAATATTTAGCATTTCTCAATCAGTAACATTAAGACTAAACTTTAAAAATGCAAGACATAATCAACCAACAGATTTAACACTGTCCTCTAGATTTTGTACGAGGCATACTCAGATCTCATTTAATTCAGTATTATGTCATTTCAAGATACCTAGGTATAAACTCCAAGGTCTTAAATTTCCCAGCAGCTTTGGAAAACCACAGTTGAGGCTGGCAAGGCAGGCCTGGCCCAGCCTTTGATTTTAAAAGGACCATAATTTTTTCCTCTGGGGAAGGTCAAGAAACAAGGTTGTAGCTACATTGTTTCCTGCCCCTTGCTTGCTGGTGGGAAGTTTCAAAATTGGCCTGGGGGGCGGGGAGGCGGGGGAGGAAATGTTTTCCCTGGAAGAACAGGTTTGGCCTACCCTGGACCAATCAGATGTAAATTGACCCCATTCTTTAAGAATTTGCTACAGGCGGGAAGCAGCCCCTTTCTCCATCAGAAAGGTGTGGCTAGCCTTTTAATTAATAAAGGGCCGGTTTTTTACCCGGGCTACTTAGATTTTTATAATTAAGATATTTTTAATAATTCTTGGGGTTCAAATCCAATTATTTTCAGGCATTTACTTTAGCAAATTTTTGAAACAGAGACAATTTTACTGATTTTCCTTTTAGAGGTCTTAAAGATAGCTTTGGAATAGGCTTCATTAACATTATTATGGGAAAATACCAATCTTGTTGCTAGAAGTTCTACCCTGGGTCAAATTCGCCATTTTATTTAGGAAATAATCAGTCTTGGGTTTTATTCGGCTCATTTACAAAGAGATTCTAGCTTAAAACTCTATCTAAATGTCCAAAATCAGAACTTGCGCGCATCAGTTTCAAGCCAGGTTTTCTCTTTACACGTGAACAGAAATCCCAGACACATTTTAAATTTTGTAAAACTTTTCAATTACGAGAAGGAGACTTTAAATTAGAATACTTGGGAGGAGGTGTCCATATTGGATCGCCATGTGCTCCCTTTTTCTTTCCACCACATCCTGCTTTGGGGGAAGTTTCAGCAAATGACTCAGATGGCGTATTTTCCCCAAAGTCATGCTTAATAGAAAAACAGATTTAAAAATGTTTTTCCTTTTTCGCTTTCCAAAGTAATAGCTAGCACCCAAGGTGACCTTGGCTAGACTTTGCACTTCCTGACATGTTCTCAGGTAATTCTTAAACAGAACATTAAGTAATCTCATTGCGGGAGAGCTTATTGCTCTGCGCTCTGCTGCCACCTTTGAATCTCTCAGAACCAGAGAGAGATTCGGCCGCGGGGTTTCATTTCTTATTACAGATAGATTCCAAATACAAATTAAGATAAGAAAACACATTAAGATGACCATGGTATTATTTTTTTCTTCAGCCTGATCTAAAAGAGTACCTTTTTCAAGAAAAACAAAGGTTATATTCTATAATAACATGCAAAAACTGTAAAAGATTTCCTTCTAAAATTTTAACACTTTAAACATGCAAATCAAAAGTCTATAATAAACCATGAGCAAAGGTCAGTGACAAAAGTGAAAAAATTTCTTAAATCTTTCTTTTTAACCCGAAATCCTCGAGCCTTGAGGAACTCCCTGAGTCCCCTGAGAAATCCTTAAATCTTTCTTTTTAACCCGAAAATCTCGCGCCTTGAGGGACTCCCTGAGCCCCCTGAGAAATCCTTAAATCTTTCTT